AAAATGATACAATTAAGAAATTTCACAAAGCATTGCTATCGTTGTTCCTTTACCTAAAAACAAGCAAAGTGAATAAAATACTATTTTTTAAAACATATTCATTTATTTAAAATTTTATTTTTAATTGACCAATAATAATTGTGCATATTTATCAGGTACAATGTAATGTTTTGATATACGTAAGCAATGCAGAATGATTAAATCAAGGTAATTAACATATCCATCACCCGAAAGCCTGGAGCAGTGAAACTGATCATGAGAAATCAGAAGGCATGTATTTCTAGACCTCAGGCTTAGATTTGAGGAAATCTAGAAAAAAGAGGCAGGAATTCAACCATGCAAGCAAATAAAAATATTCTGATCTAAGACAACATAGTAATGCTGTCTTCGCAAAGTAATACAAAACCCATGTTTTGGCAGTACTTATTGAAATCTCAGTCCATTATAATTTAATTTATGTTGTTAGCCTCAATCCTAAGTGAATGTACTGTTCTCAAGCAATAGATTAATTTAATTTCATGTCATCAAATACAATATTTGCTTAATGGTACTATTGATGCCCAGACATTGTCCTTTCACTGCATATAAAGAGTGTATTTCTTCTTATCAACCTTCTGTATTATTAAGAAAAGAAGTTTAAATTTAGTTCTGTATAAATTGAACCCCAAACTCTTATTTTCCCAATACTTAAAGGTATATGAAGTAAATTTACGCCCATTTGGACTGTTCCTTTTAGGTATGTTGAAAAAGAGTATAGTGTTAAAAAATGACTACCTTAAACAAAGGAGTAATATTTAAATAATAAATATATTACTCTATTTATGCTCATGATGCTTATCTAAACAGTGGAATAAACTAAAAGTCAAATGATTAATATTTCTAATATAAAAAATTACTTAGATCATCCATGAGAGAGACAGAGTGGGAACCATCTTTGAAGATGGCATCAGATGATTCTCACCTCTTAATATCTAATGCCCTTGTGTTGCCCCCTCCTACATTGAATAGGGTTGCCTTGTATGTCCAATATGATATTCGAGAAATAACAGAGCATGACTCTGAGATTAGATCCTAAAAGATATGGCAGCTTCCACCTTGCTCCTTCTTGGATCACTAATGCTAGAGGAAGGCCATTGCTATGTCATGAAGACATTTAAGCAGCCCCATGGAAATATTCACATGACAACTAACTGAGATCATCTGCTAATAAGTAGCACTAAGATGCTGGGCATGTGAGTGAGCTATCTTGGAAGCAGATCCTCTAGCCAAGTCAAGTCTTCAGATGACCAGCACCAGGTGATATCTTGACTGCAACCTTATGAGACCATCCAGCCAAATTGTTCCTGGATTCCTGACTCTCAGAAACAGTTTGAGACAATAAATGCTTATGAGTTTAAGCTGCTAACTTTTTGGTTAATTTGTTACTTAGCAATAGATAACTAAAAATGGCAGCAGATAAACAAGAAAGAACATGTGCTGAGAGGTTGACAAATCTAAAATGTGTCTTGATGGCAACTTAAAGCTGAGTGCTCTTGGAAAGGTTATTTTAAGTCTCTTGTGTCTTTGTTTTGTCATCAGTAAATTGAGGATAATAAATCTTACCTCACAGAGGCCTGAAGAATAAATGAGATAAAAGAATTTAAAGGACCTGGAAAGTGGCTTTTCCTCAGTAAGTATATGTTTCTTTCTTTCCTTTAAATTGTGCTTAATTTTACAGGGTTTCTTCTTTAAAGATTTGAAGCTAATTACTCTTAGCACACAGGAATTCACCTTACAGGATGCTGAAGAACTGCAGGCAGAGACAGGGTTAGGGATATTCAGTTGCTGCCTCTGGCTGTGTGTGTGTTTGTGTGTGTGTGTGTTTATTTGTTTATATTTATCTGAATGAAGAGCTGACTTGGAAGATCTTGACTTAAGAAAGATTGGATATTTTTAAACATTCCTTTAAAAAGAGATAAAGTGATTGTATAAGTTATTTTTGCATATTCATGTAAGCTCCAAGTATAAAAGATCTCTAGAAAATAAAACTTCTCTAAATCTTGCAAAAACTGTTCCACTTTGACAGGGTCTCTGACAGCTTCATGCTCCTAGTTAAAGACCTCAGAGGTCAAGAAGACAGCTCTGAAATATGCTATATCTGTTTTTGCTGTGTTTCCACCTTGACTCCACTTTTCTGTGTCCTTGACTAAAGAAATTGGGAAATTATAAGTGAATGTTGTTCAGTCTTTTATTTTGCAAATCTATAACCCACCTGAAATGTCTTTATGCTTGGAATTTAATATTGACATTACAGACTCTAAGAGCCATGGCCTAGAGATGCCAAAATATCAGGGTTAAATTCATGGACTCTGCATGAAGATTTACCAGATTTTCTGGGTTTGAATCCCAGCTTTGCAGTTGAAGAGCTCTGTGTATGAACTTGCACAAATTACTTAAAAACATTCTGTGCTTTGGTTTCCTCAAGCAAAGGTAAAAATAATGATAGCATTTATCATCTAGGTTGATAAAAGAAGGTAAGAATAATAATAATATTTACCACATAAGTTTTTTATGAAAATAAATTGGGTTAATATTTGTTAGTGACTTAGAATGATACCTGTCAAATAGCAGGTGCTTGTTAAATAGATAGCTTTCACTTTGATGAGGCAGATAGTTGAATAACCTGGACATTTACAGTAGATTTATTTAGTGAGTATAATAATAACCATTCAGCAACCAGAATCCTTCTCTTTCCTCCTCTCTGCAGATACTCAATTTTGATTTACTATAGTTTTGAGACAGAATTATTTATTTCGCTGATATTTGAGGATTTGGATATTTCCTCAAACATAACCCTTAAAAGATAAATTTATGCTTCCCTCTGAACTGAAAATATGTTTGCCTTTCACAAGGGCATTTGATTTTCACAGCTACTAGATTTTCCTGAGGTGTGTCAATGTGTTGGGGAAGACATTGATCAGGGAGAATCAATCTACCTTTTCTTTTTTAGCAAGTGGTTCTTGCTAAAAGCTATACTCCATCTTTCCAGTAGAAAAACAAATCCCTGAAGCCATGATTATGGACACCAATCGCCCTTTGCTATATTTACTATAGGCCAAGAAAATGGACTGAGGATTATTGCAACCTTTTTTGTCAATGGTTGCTGAATTTAGTAAAGGGAAAGAAAGAGACAGAAGAAAAATCTAGGACATCACTTCACAATGTATTGGAAATAAAATAGCCTTTAAGATAGGAGCTCTGACTTGAACTGTGAGAAATAATTCTGTTTGCTAGTTCTTAAGAAATTAATGATACAAATTAAAAAGTGACTTTGAAAGATACATAAAATAGTATAAGCTGGTGTTATTTAAACTGTGTTTTGTGGAAAACCATGAATTTAGGGGGCTCCTGGAAGGATGTCTTAATTAAGGGGAGGGTGCTGACCAGGTAGAATTGAGACTCCATTTAACCCACATCTATCAGAGAAGTGTTGTGTTCACAGGTAACACTTCTTGGGCTTCCAACTAAGTTAATATGTGAACAAAGAATTCCATAAGCTTCAAATGATTGAGAACCACTTTTCTCGATGTTTGTTCATATGGATAATCACAAACCCAAACTTTTCAAGCTGGGTTGTCAAAATTCAAGAAAAGTCATATTGGCAGATATACAATCCTGTGGGATGGTAGGATGGAATGATGGTGACCACAGACCAGTTTATCTAATTCTCAGTAGAAGAAATTATAAGATCTTCCATTAAGGCACAAGGAGGCAAATTTAGAATTAGTAAAAAGCATAAACTAATTAGTAAAAAGAATTTAAAAAATGAAAACCCCAAATTATAGAAGAAGTTGCATACAAAATAACCACAAAAATTTTGGGGTGAAACCACAGGCAATTATTCAGAAAAAATGAGATACTTATGGGGATAGCCTTTATTACTAAGTCTGATGTTAAAGATGGAGACCGTCTTCCACAAATCACCTTTTGATTTCATTTTCAGAAACAAACTACCAGCTTATATCACATCCATTCATATCCTTTGTGGTAATATCTAAGTTCTTATGTGATTTTACCAGTTTTTTTTTGGTTCAGATATTTAGCTGCAATTAGGTATGAGCCATGACATAAGCAAGTAAACCCCATTCATATATGTTGAACATATGGAATTGCCAATATTTGGTTTCCTTGACTTAAAAATGGCAATTTCATAGAGTTCAAGCTAATATTTTCTTGGCTATATCACTCCCTAGTATTGAAGCAAAATCTATACCCTCCCCTTTGCATAACATCTTCCACCCAACCCACAGGCATCCTGTGCTTTGATGGCTTGACAGGAGCAGTTGAAGAGGTCTGAGTGAGCCTACTGGATAAAAGTAAAGTTGTCAAGTCTTGTCTTCTCTTCTCTTGTTCAGTAGCTCTTGCCAAGGCTTTTGGGACTTCTCAAGAGGGCAATCACACAGAATTGAAATTAGAGTAGCCCTAAAATACCCTTGGCTATTCCTTTGACCATGTATTTTGTCTCCTCTACAGCCTTTTTAGCAATAGAATATCCAAACAGTGTCCTATAAAACAAAGTGTTAAATCATCTCGTTGGGAGAATAAGGCAGGTGAAAGGGTTGAGGCTTGTCAAGGAAGCCTGGCGGAGACAGCAGCTCTTACTGCTTTTGAAGTGCTCTTGCGGAAGCTGTGCCCAAGTCCTTTAAGAGCTGGTTTGCTTCTCAAGTGAACCTGGTTGCCAGCAAGAGCAATGATGTGATGGTTCGGGTGGGAGGGAAAGAAAGGAAATGCATCCATGATGGGGGCTTTGCAGGCAGATCATACAAGCCAAAGTGGACATTTCTCATGGATGCTATTAGCTACCCATCCCTCCCATATGGGCTTCTTCCGTTTGCCTGCCTGAGAGGAGGCTGCTGAGAATCATTCAAGCCAGTTAAAGAAATTGCCTACAGTAAGTATATGAAACACAAACACATTAGCTCAAAGTGCTTGAAACATAGTAATAATCACAAAGTCCTTACTTCTTCTCTCCTTTGTACCATTCAAAGGCCGGAGGCGGCACACCTGCACCTTCACATCTTATCAATCCACTGCGTCCGGGGGTCACGGTGCCAGATTTAATTTCCTGAATCGTAGGAGCAACTGGAAAAGAAACAAACAAAAGAAACCTGGTGGGTAAGAGAAAATAATCCTCTGCAGAAATATAACACACATATATTTTTATCCTTTCTACATTCAAAGCAATCTTATGCCTGATAGGCCAATGCGTCATATTTTCAGTGTTTTATGCTTCAAATACAAGACTAGTCATTTTCAGCTTCATTTTTTAGGCTGAACAATAGATGAATGTTCCCAGGGAGTGTAGAGTAAATGCAATACATTTTGGCCTTGCTTCCTATTGGAAAAGTGGCATTTGTGAGGGGAATGCTTCATCTGTGCTCCAGTCAAACTACATTCCCATAATAGCTCTCATTTATTGAGTGATCACTGAGAGCCCGTCATTGGGCTAGGTGCTTTATGTTCTTGATTTCTTCACAATAATACTGTAAGGTAGATGGTATTATCCCTTTTTATGATTATGAAAACTGAAGTTCAAACAGGTTAAACAATTTGTCTAAGGTCACACAGCTACCTAGTTGCAGAATTTGGATTTCAAGTCAGTCATGTTGACTCTAAGCCTTGATTCTTTCAAAATTCTGTGTTTTTCCCTGCTCCCTGTGCTGCAGCAATTTAGTGATCTTGTTACATGGTTTCTGCTGCCTGGTTGCTGTTTTTCCCCATATCCATAGATCCAAGGCCCATTTTAGGTGAGACTATCTCCATACTCTTCTCCATCTCTCTAGCTAGAAATAGCTTTTCCTTCTCTGAGTAATTTATCTGGGTCTCTCATAATATGGATTTTCTATCTTGTATTGTGATTACTTATGGGTATGTTAGGCTGCCTTGTCAGCTTCTTGAAAGCAGGGTAAATATCTGATTCATCTTTGCATATTCCAAGATCAAAGCACAGTGCCTAGCACAGCGTGATGCTTAAAAAGCTTTTTTGTAGCATAGCCATTCCTTTATTCATCAAGTGGCTATTGAGCCACCAATATGTGCCAGGCATTTCTCAAGGCACAAAGCAGTCAAATGCCCTGACCTGACAATGTTCACATTCTAAATGGGATGGAGTACGGGGACACAGACTATAAGCAGTAGATAAAAATAAGTAGCATAAACAAATTGTTAGAAGAGGATAAGCAATATAGTAAAACAAAATCAAAAAAAGAAACAAAAAACCTTATAACAGCAAAGAAAGAAGAATTAGAGCAGGGGATGGATTTTGTAAAAGATAGGGCACAGTGAGTAGGCTTTACTGAGCTGGTGAAATTTTCCCAAAGAATAAATGTATTAGAGGACTGAGTTAGCTATATAGGTGTCTATATAGCTATAGCTATATAGGGAGCAGCTTGCAGTAAGGCTCTGAGGCTGAAGCAAGCCTGATTTGTTTGAGAAATAGCAAGGATATCAGTGTGGCTGGTGCAAAGAGAAAAAAAGGAAGGGTAGCAAAAGATAGGGCCAAAGAGGAGCAAGGGATGAAGGTCACATAGGACCTTGAAGGCCATTTCAAGGATTTGACCCTTACTCTGAGTGAAACAGTGAGCCCCTGCAGACTTGTGTTTTATTACAAGGATCCCTCTGGCTGCTGTGTTGAAAAATACAATAGTGAGGCCAGGATGAAAGTCAAGGGAGTAGGTAGGAAACTTGCAGTAAGCAGGGCAATGAAGGTTGGTGGCTTATATCAACCAGGGTGGTAGCAGTGGAAGGGGTAGAAAGCCACTGGGTTTCCATTCTACTGTGAAGTTGGAGCCAATAGGATTTCTTGACCAATTGAAGAGTGATGGAAGAGAAAGAGAGGAGTCAAGTTGACTTCTTTTGGTTTAAATAAGCTAGAAGGTTAGGATACTCCTTGACTGAGATAGAACACACTGTAGGTAGGAGAATTTTGGAGGAAAACATTAGGTATTGTATGCATGTATCCTTTCATAAATATTTCCTTTTCTACTTAGTTTTTAACATAGTACATATTTTAAATAACACTGTGGGAAATTGTTCATCAACAACTGGAACATTGAAGATGTACATACTGGTTCACTCAGAAATATGACCTAAGTATGTGTGCACTCTGGATATATTTGGAGTTTCTTTGGAAAGCAGTAAAAAGTACAAGGTTTAATGTTTTTTCAATATGCAGTGAATATGAAAACTGTAAACATTCTTACAACAGAACATCACTTTTCCTTTTAGAAATAACCTAGTAAATTCATCTTTTTTTGTTAAGGGTGATACTTCATTTTGAAATTATAGCACCTTTTTCTCTGTGGTGTTTTTATTCTTAAAAGTAAAGCTTCAGTATATAGTTCTAGAAAAAAAATTACAAAGAAAATATTTTTTATTAAAGTCCTTGCTAATAACTTGGTGAAGAATAATGAAAGAATATTTACTAAAAACATTTAAATGTGAAAATGTTAGATAATACACATACACACATATATACACAGAGTTTTATATATGTACACAATACAAGTATACAAATACAATATAAGGACTCATTTCATAATTTTTCACTTGTTTTTTGAAGCAAAGTTTCATGCCTGTAAAAGGCAATGAAATATACAAAATACATCTATAAATAAAGCCCCACTTCTTTGTCAGTTATTATGACACTGATTTACTTGTGAGAAGTACAGGGAAGATTATATTTTCACTATTGTTCTCACAGGCTTTCATCTCTCTCTCCCTGTCACACTAACAGGCTGTAATCTTTTATGATATCCAACTATTATTGAAGATGAAATAACCATATGCAACAGGAGATCCATCACAAGCTTCTATTGATAACCTGGTTAGTTTAATTACTCTCTTGTTTGTCAAGGGGCCATGACTCATTACAAACAAAAGCATGAAATCCGGAACATTGCCTGAAAACCCAGGCATAATGAACTGAAATAAAAATCTAATTCATCATTAAAAAGCTTTTATGCAGTACAGTGTGCACATGGCTTAGCACTGTGTGCTTTACCATACAAGTTAAAGGGACATGATCCTGTTATCCAGGGCTTCATGGGCTGCTATGATGGAGACTGCAAATGGAAAGACAGCTAAAATGTCATATGGATCCACGGATAAAGAGTGAATCAAAATTAATAATAATATGCATAAGGATAAGTCCTAAGAGCATTTTGTGTGTGGTAGAAAATTAAAGAGCCACGGGCTGTAGAGTAATCAATGCAGAACGAAGATTCTCATGTAGATTTTATTTTGTGGCTAAAATTATAAACTTGAACCTAAAGCCTCTATTGATTTTTCTTAGGCTCATGAAAATTCATACTACATAATCATATTATTGTGCATCTTTTGGAAATGACTATTTGAGAGGAAGAAGATTCATCCACTTATTTATTCTTCATTCCTTCATCGATTCAACGAATATTTCTATCAGGGACCAAATTAATGAAAAAAAAATATTCCTGGCCTCGTAGAGCTAACGTAGACTGATATAAACTAAGGTGGAAATAAAGCAGGGCAAAAGAAAAAGAAATAGCAAGATGTTTTATTTAAATGGAGAGATCTCAGAGGTCCTTACTGATGAGGCCATATTTGCTCAGAGAATTAAAAGATGTGAAAAAAGGAATCACGTGGCTATTTATAAGAAATTATCATAATAACAAGAAACAGGAAAGTTAAAGTGGGGAGCATGCTTGAGGTGGAAACGCATTTATCAAGTTTAAGTTTAACATGCTTTTTAAGGAAAAGAAAATGGTCATCATGACTTGAGCAGAATAAGTGAGAAGATTCATCTAGAAGAGAAGGTGGGGCCAGGAGCGGAGCTGGTGCCCAGATTCTGCAGGGTCGAGTAGCCCATGGTAAAGGATTTGAATTTTATTCAAAGGGACTGAGGCTTTGGAGATTTTGAGCAGGGGAGTGACATGATTTGATTAAAATTCTATAAAGATTCTTTGGCTGCTGTGTGGAACATGTTCTGCAACGAGGTAGGAGAGGAAAGAGGAAACAGGCAGAATAGCTAGGAGGCTGTTGTAGTAATCCTTAGGATGATAAGAAAGTCATTGGCCAATTCACAGAAAAGGCAGGAACTGAGAAAAAATGTAATTAAATAGATCATTGGTCACATTGGACCTGACTCAACTCATTTTAGTTAACTGGCAATGACTGGACATTTCTAGTGAAATTGTAAGTTTACACTTTCTGAGCACTATTACTTTGTGTAAATAAAAGGGTTCTATGGCCACAGAATTGCCTGATTATACCCAGCAGGTTCCTTTTCTACAGTACTTCTCAGAAATAATGTCACCCATGTATGTTTTATGAATCATTTATTGGACAGAACCGTTTCCCAACTTATGTGACCATAGCATTCCAGAAGGTTTTATTTGAACATTTTGTGGGCCTGATGTTTCTTAGAACATATTGTGAATATGTTGGACTAGTGGATCTATAAGTTCTATTCCTCATCTTAGGCTATGTGATTCATGACTTTTAGGGTGAACAACCATCACTGGTTCAACAGGCTCTCAAGTGCTCATGAGCTATAATGTACTCACAGATTTCATGTGAGGAGAAAGCTTCAATTATTTGCACCATAAGGATATGGTCATTTATTTGTCTGGAACAGATGTACCTGACAACAGTTATGACTAATTAAATCTCCAACTGGAGCAGCAACAGTAAAAATTATAATTATCTTGGCCAAGTTGTACAAAACACTCATTTTCCACTAAAGTGTTCCCTGTTTTAAGAAATCATAGTAGGCCCTTCCTTGGAAAGGTGATCGAATGATAAAACCTGAGTGATTGCTTCCAGAGTCTATTTCTCTTACCATTGCACTTCCTCATTGCTCTGTGAATTTTGGCCCTACACCAGCAGTGTAAGCTGCTTTTACTAGAAGTGTAAATGCGTGCATCTTCTGTTTCAGAACTGTTTGTCTTCTCAAGGAGATAGTTTTTGTTCTGCTCATACATAATTTTTAATAACACAAGGAAGGGGAGTGCTTGAGTCTTTCAAATTTGTAAATAGAATTGCATCCTTTGGAGTGGACTGATTTATGTGCCCTGCTGAAATTTAGGCACACCATTCTTGTGCCA